TATATATATATATATATATATATATATATATATATATATATATATATGAAATGGATAATTCCGATAATTATTTTAATATATTTTAATATATATTTATATTCTTTATGCGTTATTTTTATAAATACAAATATTTAAGTAAATGCTCTGTTTATAGTAAACAGTATTAACAACATTTACCGGCCTGAATGTCTGTGAAATTTCATAGAAACCGGATGACCAGACGCTTCCTCTGTAGCTAAATGGTATAGCTCGTCATGCTATATGACAGTTTCGTGCGGGAGACAGGTTCGATTCTTGTCGGAGGACACTTATTTTCTCTGAAATTTCTCGGACATTCATCCTTGTAGATGTTGTTAATACTGTTTATGATAAAACGGAGCATTTAACTTAAATGTTTTTATCTATAAAAATAACCTCAAAGCTGAAGATAAATAAATAAATATATAAATATAAATAAAAGTAGAAAAAAGTAGACGCGGAAAAGTGGATCCTGTGACAAACTCGATCTAGTGTGTCTTACAAGATTTTTTAAAGAGTGTGTCCTTCTTGGCAACCTTTGCGATCGAGTGTGATTTGGCACAAGAATTAGACTTTGAGGAACTCATCTTTTAAGCTGTTTTCTAACTGGTTTTAATCTTCGTATTTTTTTTCAATAAAATACCGATTTGTAATTTTGCTTTCAATTTCTTGTAAAGAAGTCTCCCCTAAAACAATAAAGGTATTTTCTTCAGGCCCATCGGGTTTCAAGGTCCGGCACTTTTTGTGCCGGCTGACCCCACCTCTCACCGCGGCTATATATATATATATATATATATATATATATATATATATATATATATATATGAAGAAAAATATACGGAAAAAACAAACAAAATCCTAATATGCAATTATGCTGTTTTAATGTTAATATAATATCAACGTTGGACGTTTCGGTCTAGTAGACCATCTTCAGGACATATTCAAAAAACATAATTAACATTAGACTATATTCATTCAACATGAAAAGACGATGGACATAAAAGTAAGACTGATCAAAACAGATAACTGAAATTTTTCAAGATCAGCGTTCCGTTTCACAATATGATCACGTCGGCGTCACGTGGGTGATGTTGTGAAAACGTATTCCTAAAATAGAGTATTTTGAATGAAATATTAAAATTTTTGTTTGTTTTTTCCGTATATTTTCTTCATACTGTCGGATCTATATCCATATATATATATATATATATATATATATATATATATATATATATATATATATATATATATATATACAATCTGTGGAGTTAAGCTTCAAGATAGGACATCTAACGTAGACCTGTTTAACAGGTGTAATATTGGAGGAATCGAGACTTTTATCATACAGTCTCAGTTACGGTGGACTGGTCATGTCTTGAGAATGTCTGATGACAGGATATTCAAGTTAGTTCAGGGCTACAGGAATGTGGGACGCCCATGGCTAAGATACAAAAACAAGCTGAAAAGCAACTTGTCAGCAGTCAATATACCAAATAACACCCTTGAGCGTTTAGCCTTGGAGCGGGTAGAATGGAGATCAACGTGTTTAGTGGACTCAGTAATTTTCAATCAGCTTGTCTGAATCATCTTCAAGAAGCGAGAGCAAGATCTAAAAGATCAGCCAATCTAACAGTGAACTCATCTCACAATCCTCACACTTGCTCCATATGTGGCCTCCTTTGTAAATCCCTAGCGGGTCTTAAATGCCACTTAAGTTTATCGCACAAAATTTCATAACTAAATCAATAAGCTGTCAGATCCTCATACGTCGAAACCGACGGGAGAGTCCATTATATATATATATATATATATATATATATATATATATATATATATATATATATATGTATTGAGAGAAGCAACTGACCCTGCAATCTTGCTAGACTTTGAAATTTAACAATTACTTCTTCTTAACCATAAAAAGTTTATCTTTAGTTAGACCTTTTCGATGTCGTATAGTTGGTACGTTATTCTTCTTACGTTATTGGTAATATTTTGTCTAGAGGTTTACATGTTTGGCTGACGTTTTAACATTCTCTATTGATTTGTTTTATTAATACGCTATATAAAACCCTTTAGTTAACAGTTGCATTCCGTTGAGGATGATCTGTATATTTTATTATTATATATCATCTATATGCTAAAAGTTTCATTTATAAACTCCATTTATTTGAATATTCTGTTTCATCTTTCATTTCACGTTATTTTTTTAAATATTTTTCGTTATTTTTCTTTCCTTTTCTTTCATTTATTTCTTAAGGTGTCATATTATTTATCTACTATAAAGTATTGTTAAATTACGTTTTCTTCCTCATATGAAGTGACAGCCGTTTGACGTTAAACATTGTAGCGAAGATTTTGTTCCAAATATGACGTTTGTATTCGTTGCAATTTTAAATCTGTGTTTCTCTTACTTAGCATAGGTCAATTTGATTGGTTGAACCGATTATAAACATAACAAGTTGTATATTTTTCCTTTCTCCTTTCTTTTTGTATGGAAAAGAGATTATATCTTGTGTCTTTCTTTCTTACACTTTCTTTTATCTTTCTTTTTTCGCAGGAAAGATGTCGTATGTAATTATATCGTCACACTTGTAACAATCAGTCATTTACTAACGCCGGGTGAGATATGTTGATACACATCGAAACGTGTGTGCATTTATGTAGCGTTGTTCCTACATATTTGAATAATAATGAAGAATATTGGTGAATGCTGCCATAATCCTTACCTTCATTTCATCTTTAGTATTACAAAGAGTTTTAATGGCCTCTCGCTTAAATGCGCCCCACACATAATAATCAAGGGGGTTGCAGTCTGGGGAGTTAGGTAGCCTGGATGTTAGGCGTGATGTGTTCGCAGAAATTGAGAGCCATCACTGGGTTGTCCTCTTTCTGTAACATGGTGCAAAGTCCAGTTGCCAGAAATAGGGTCTTCCAACAGCCACCCTCTTGACCCAGGGAAGCACTACCTCATCAAGGCACTACCCCCTGTAATCTTCCGTGTTGAGTCTGGGGCTCTATGGGAAAATGAATGGAGGCATAGTCATCAATAGTGATCACTTCAAACACCTTCATTATCGCCATTTTATTCATCCAACTCTTTCTGTATCCTCTGCAGTGGCTTCAAATTGACACCCAAACACACTGAAATGTTCGTATTGGAGCTTCTCGTGCGAATGCCAAACAGTACAGCCTGCCGTTTCCAAATTTATGGCGGAGTAAAATGTGGCATGGTTCTCTTTTTCTCACAGATGGTGCCCAACTGACCCTACTATACTGTGCAGTCGACAAAATCAAAAACAAAAAAAGCGCATTTGCGAAATTAAAAATTTAAAATAGCGAAAATTTACCCATTGCTTCCTATATGTATATATATATATATATGTGTGTGTGTGTGTGTGTGTGCATAGTATGATAATACATACTATGCACAAGCTAATTTTTTAATATGCCTACATATTGTATAGAATTATATAAGGATACATAATTTAAATCTGATTCACACACACACACACATATATATATATATATATATATATATATATATACACTTTTTTTAACTGTCTCTCGCTAATTTATTTACACGTTATTTCCCCTCCCCTCGTTATAAGTATATACACTTGTTTGCTATTTTAGCGTGTTTCCCTCTTTTTTTTTTGTTCTTTATTTTCGTTACTGTTCTTTTCGTTAATTAATGATCCAACGATTGTCTCGTGATGAGATGTTGGTTGAAAAATAGAGACTAATAAAATTAAAATCAATAAATTCCTAGTTTTTAAAACTATATATATATATATATATATATATATATATATATATATATATATATATATATATATATATATAAGCGTGTGTAAATGTGATATCTAAACCTATATATATATGTATACGTACGTGTGATTGTTTGTATGCACATGTGTGTGAACAAGACTTAAATAGTGTCCCATATCGTAGGCATATGCCAAACCAAAGCTAAACTTTGTGTATGCTGTGATAGATAGATAGATAGATAGATAGATAGATAGATAGATAGATAGAAACATTGGCGAGCATACTTAGTATGAAGATCGCAATGAGGGGTGAACACTTGCAGTTACCATGTCCATGGTATTTATCTAAACGTGGTATCTCCGTTATTGATTACTCTTTGATGAATGTAGCAAATTTTAAGTAATTTCTTTTTTTTTTATATAAAGAAACTAAATGAAATTGTCTACACTATATACTCAAATACGTATTTTAAAAATACATTTAAATTTAAAATCTTGAATTTTAGTGTCCTCTCTCCTTAGTAAACATCACATTAGTCCAAGCAAAGGACAAAACGCGTCACATGAAAAGTTTTCTTTCCACTTTGTCATTAATTTTCCTAATGAACACACATACACGCACACACACATACATACATACACACACACACACCCACACACCCACACACACACACACACACATATATATATATATATATATATATATGTATATAAATAAAAAGAAAGAACAGTAAGATATATAATCCGATGTCCTTATAGATATTTTTATTTTTACAAAATAGTGCTCGATGTAAATTTTCATCGCTTGATGAAATGGAACTAATGTCTTTAATTTAATTACAAAATTAAATTCAGGGCTTTTAGCTTCCATTTTTGAAACATGGTTAGAACTGTGTAGCGAAAAAAGACCATATTTTAAATCAATTAATTTATAATATATATATATATATATATATATATATATATATATATATATATATATATATAAGATCTATCAAAGTACCACCCGACCGAGTCGTTACTCTAGTTTCGCGCTCTCGTGATCTTCAGACACCTTTGTTTTGTCTAGGTAATCTAAGCGTTGAGCACTTTTCTTTACTGAGTAGGTAGGTGTTTGCCTTTAGGTATTTTTTTCTTTTCTTATTCAATATTTTCTCTTATTTAAACTGTTAGGTCTTTTGACAAATTGTCTGTTTGTTACTTATTTTTTCCTCAATAGTATATAGATAGATAGATAGATAGATTGATAGATAGATAGATAGATAGATAGATAGATAGATAGATAGATATGAACGATGATTGTCCTAACAGTAATACCTGTGAGGTCATATAACTTTTCTAAACAACACGGGACATATGTAACGGCATGTGTTTAGTAATTATTTTTCTAAAACACTTCAAACTAGGTCTCCATCTGAAAGAAACTGCATTTGATCTAGCGACGGTACAGGTTAAAACTTTATCTACTCTTTCTCGTAGATTAATGTCATCAAATGTCACCCCCTCTTACATATTTCTCTGCCTTCTGTGGATATCGGCTTCTGTAAATCCTTTTTTGGTCAAGAACTCAGTGTATGCTCTTTGTGTCTGCCTCGTCTGCATTGTTACGCAACGACACCTGCGAAAACAAAAACGATTTCAGCCGTGTAGAAAGAATTACTCTGTCTGGCAGAGCAGAAGCATCGTATGTCGATTAATTACCATTGCTTTCAGGATAACCGTTAAATACAAAGTGCACCTTGCTTTAAGAAATAGCTATAAATCATTCGACTACTCTGTGCGAATTTTAATCTTTACTTGGTAGCTCACACATGTTTCCTTCTGCCAAATTAACCATGTACTTGAAGCCATAATCGTAAAAAGACGCCTACTCTGAGAATGTAAAGGTAGTCTAACCTTAACGTCGGGGTCCAATTCCAGTTTAGTCTCTTGCACGCATATTTCTTCAAAAGCACAGAGAAAAGGCACGAATCCATTTCTTTATCCTCCAACTATAGGTGAAATAGCAGAGTAGACTTTGAATCTATAAACTTGATTGGTAAGTAGCGTAAAAGAAGAAAAACTCTGAATTTCTAACTATGAAGAAAGCAACGGTAAACCACTTCACTATCTTTTCCAAGAAGCCATGTTAATACACAGCTCATAAAAAAGGGATCCTGTAAGTGACCTGTAAACTACGGACTTCAACGCATTACTTAAATTTATAAATTTTCAATCATCAAACGCCATATTGAAAATAAAATATTTAAAGTTTTTTTCTAGTATTTTTTCACTCTAAGAAATGTAATAAAGCCGTTAAGGTTACTGAGTGTTAGAAAATATGAGAGAAAAATTAAGGAGAGGGGACAATAAAAGAACAAAATTATGAAGACATAAGAAAATGATTGACGTGAGCTTTAATTTTTGAAGATCAAAGTTGACTGGAAAACAAGAAGACGGGCAAGCAAGAAGTGCAAGAGAAGAAACTGATAGCATAGAACTTACGGTTACATCTATCCATTTCAACTGTAAAACGGTGAGACCTTGGCGCCAATCTCGTACTGCGCCTGAATTCATAAAGTCGAGGTACCATAAAGAAAAGCTCATCAAAACAGTTACAATTAAAGTATTTATAGAAAAAGCACAGGGAAGCAAATTTATGGCAATGGGAAAGTGACCGAACCAAGGTGTCAGGTCAGGACCAATAACATTGAAGATCATTCTTTGGATTATATCAACGGTGTGCACACTTACTATGAAAATCATAATAAGGGGTGGAAACTTGCAGTTACCATGCAATATTCAAAGCTTTCTACCTCATGTTATTGGAAAACTCAGACCAACCGCGTCTGATCCTTCTAACTTAGGAGGATAAGACGGTTGTCCTGAGTTCTTAAAGACTGGAACTGCAGAATAGTATTTCTAGACAGCAGGAAAGCAAGAAGCAGCAAGATATTTATTGTAGAGTTTGGAGCCAGTTCGGAATCACATCTCTTAAGTACTATTACGGTGATATCATTAAGTCCGCATGTTTTGTAAGGATATTAAGAGATGATATCTATCAATGGATGGAGTCATATGTATATCACTCAATAGAGACACAGCTGGAAAAGTCGAAAGTCATGCAAAGATAGTTCAGATGAGTCAAGAGTAGAATTTGTAGTATCTCAATTCATGTTCTGCGTAGTTGTAAAGAAATGGCACCCATTTTTATTGAATGTTCTGAATTACGAAATCTCAAATAGTGGTGCCAAGATTTAAAAAGTCAAAATCTTCTAGGATTCATTCCAACACTGTTCTATGGCATGGGGCGAAGTAAAGTATTGTGTATTTGAATTTGAATGAAATTGGTTTCAGAGTACCTCACTGGGTGAAGAAGGTGGTCTGTTCACTCAGTCTTCCCTCGGCTGAAATCTTGTGGAGCATTCTGAAGATTGTAATTTACTCTGACAGACAGCGATTTAAAGAGAGAGTTTGGAGAGTTATTCTAGATTCTGTGTATTTTTTTTTTTCACATGAAGAAATACATCTCACAAAAAAAGTGGCTAAAAAGAGTTTTAAAACTAGGTTTATAACATGGTATATATATATATATATATATATATATATATATATATATATATATATATATATATATATATTTTCCATTAAAACTGATTTCATTACGTCGTCATAAAAAATTCAGAATTTTAAATTCCGAAACAAGTCACCACATCGTAAGCATTTAGTCTGCTATAATTTAATTCACACATACTATTAATTTTCAAATATATGGAAGAATTAAATTTGACTAATTATGTTAGATACAATATCTGTATGGAGATAGATAGATAGATAGATAGATAGATAGATAGATAGATAGATAGATAGGAATAGACTGAGAATTAGAGAGATGAACAATACTGTTCTTGATATATATATATATATATATATATATCGTTATCTCATATATATTATTAAGGAATAATGACCAGAGATTAGCAGCTGATCTCTCCTCTGACCTAGCTCTTACAGCTCAACGGCTAGTCTCGAACCTAGTGACATTCCATCATCGCCGACTGGATCTAAAACTATCGTCAATCTCGATGAGCGGATGTTCACTTAGGGAGACCCCAGACCTGGAGGGTGAATTGGGACTTAAGCACAGCCCACCCCTCAAGTGGAACTCGTACATGCATGCTGGGAAAATGGTCGGTTCCCTGTACTGCTCCAATAAGTATTTGACTCCTCTTACTATACTCTCCATTTACAATAGCCAGATCAGCATGAAAATGGAATACTGCTATTTATGGGCAGGATCTTCCAAGTTTTCACTTTCCAATCTCGATAGTCCAAAGGTGCCTCTTCATCCTTGTGGGTGACAAATAATTTTCCACCCTACAAACTATTTATCACAACGTCACAAGCCCCTCGTTGCTTTATCGCTTTTCCCATTGGAAATATTCAGATAAACAGTATGAGTTCTGATCGTTATTCGTAATAACATTATTTAGTAATTTGTGTTGTTCTGGGAAGATAATTCTAATTTCTCCTCCAGACAGGGTTTGTAGATTTTAGATTAATTGTTGAAGGCTGATGCTGTTTTCCTTATATTTCATTTTATTTCTGGTGTGATTTGTTTGTTTGTTTTTTTTTTTTGTTTTTAATTTCCCATACATGTTTATCAAGCATTGTGCTGTTCGCGTATTTACTATTTGTAAAGGATGTTTTGTGTGTGTAGTTTCTTTGTTTCCAGGGCCCTTGAGTTACTCCTATGTATATTTTTCTTCGTTATATGTTGATTTTACAATGGTTTGACAATTATTGGACCAATAGTCCATGTAACATCAACGAAAAAAAAAACACTTACAATAATAGAAATTGTGAATTACTACATTAATATAAAAAAAAATCTAGCGTCGTATTACTCCACGTTCAAAAAATTCTTAACTGTTAATAATAGCACACTTTTTAATAATACATCTTTTGACAAGTATCACATTCATTTTGTTTTGGAATTTTACCAGAAATTATCTGAAATTGAGAAAAAAATAACATCTATGCCTGAAGATGGTAAATTTTTTTACCGAAAGTACTTGCAAGCAATATGGACCGAACATCTAATCCATTGTACGATTGATAAAAATGACTATTTTATAATATTAATTAAGCTATTTATTATTTATATATATATATATATATATATATATATATATATATATATATATATATATATATATAAACGAAGTGCAAGATTGAGGATTGGCATCAACTCTACATGGTGACTGTCAGTTTCATACCTTGTATTCAAACAAGGAAGATCGCTTTAAGACTCGGAACTGGCAGTAACCATGCTGTGCTGATTTCTATGTTTGCACTGTCTGTATAGATAAAGTTTCTACCTCGGAGACTAATCACTTTCCCCGATAAATATGTATACAAGTTTTAAAAGACATATATGTGTGTTTATATGTGTGTGTCTGGATTTATGATTAAGAAATACCTGTAAAATTTTTATGTTTTCTCAGCTACACGAACGGGGTTCATCTGCTCGCAAATGTTTTTTTATTCGGGTTGTAGACTGCCAACTCTTATCACATGGTTCGCCATTCCTTGATAGCAGTAGCACTGTTCGAATTTATACGCTCTTTTACCGCTTTGCAACTGAACGATGAGAACAATATGTTAAATAAATTATGAAACGGGGGGGAGGGGGGAGGTTGAAAATAGAAAATGACAAAAGCAAAAGATCTCAGAAATAAAGAGACGATGATGTACATATATTTACATGACCCGACGTGTGACATTTTCAGTGTCTATAAAAGTTCCGGCCGCCATACGCACACATCCATATACGTAGATACATACGCATATACAAGCACATATAGGTGTGTAAACGCACCATTCTCCACATAATAAATTACAAAAACAAGTGCAAATAAATGAAGGGAGGAGAAAAGAAGAAACAAAAGCGAAAAATGAAGGCTGCAAACGAAATCTAGAGATAAGAGAAAGACGTATGAGAAAAGAAACGATCAGACCGGGTGGGGCGGGTGAATAGAACGGGAGGGAAAAAACAAAAGAAGAAGAACGGTAAAAAGTAAAATATGAAAAGTGAGAGAATGAAGAAACAGGCGAGAAGAAGAAGAAGAAGAAGAAGAAGAAGAAAGAAGAAGAAAGAAGAAGAAGAAGAAGAAGAAAGAAACAATTAAAACATGAGATGATGAAGAAGATGAGAAGAGGAATTGTAACAATTAAATGAGGAATGATATGACGATGAAGGAATTAAAAACAGAAGGAAAAAAATGGTCACAAGTAAAAAAAAAAATGAAAGATGGAAGATGATCAAATAAAGAAGAACAACAACAACAAATAGAAAAATAAGAAAAATCGTGTAAACAAGAAGAAGATGAAGCGAAAGAAAAAGAAGAAAAATGACAAGAGATGAAGGATGAGAAAAAGAAGCAGCAGAAGAAGTAAAATTACTGCAAGTCATATGTGATGGATGAGAGGATGGATAAATAAAGAAGAAGAAGAAGAAGAAGATTGGAAAGAGGAAGGAGAATAGTAACATGTAAAAAAAAATGAAAGATGGGACGATGGAGGAATTCAAAAAAGAAGAGGAAGAAAGAGGAAGAAAAGTTGAATAAATAGAAAAAGTAGACGAAGAAAAATAGATATAAGATTAGAGAAAGAAATCGAAGGAAAAAGAAGACAAAAAGAGAAAAACGAGAATATATACGTCACTTGAAGCGAAAATGAAAAGATGAAGTAAACAGAGAAGGAAAATGATTTAATCGCAATAGAAATTAATAGATTTATAATAATCCTTAAAGTGAGAAAAATAAAATTTGTGTTTGTGAATGAGAGTGGGGTAGTAGAGAGAGAAAAAGAGAGAGAAAAAGAGAGAGAGAAAAAGAGAGAGAGAAAAAGAGAGAGAGAGAAATATTAACCTTTTCAATGAACAGACAACAAGGCAAATGTAGAATGGATGGAAAGTTATCAAATGGAACAGATTCAGAAATAAAAAGAAAATCGCAAAAAAAGAAAAAATGCCTGTTATTAATAATTGCGCATGACGATAGTCATTCAAGCAATGAAAGTTTTTCAACGCTATTTTACACAAAAAATGCCTCAGAAAAAAGCAACAACTTCCTTTGGGGAAGAAACCGGAAGTTGTCGGCATACTTCAGAAATGAGAATCATGTCTTTTTTTTTTTTACCGATTGATGGTTGACCAGTGACGAATGAATGGAATTCATTTACAATATACGCGAAACATATTTCAACTGACTTATCTGAAGTCTTGTTTTTCACTCTGAGAAAAATGTCTTGAAATACCTTAAAGAAATAATAATTGACAGTTTTGCAGAAAAAGAATAAGAAAAATGCGGATATTTTCGAAATGTTTGGATAAAATGGTTGACGGTGGTGGTTTCCAGGATGGTTTACTGTCAGTATATCGAGAAGTTTATTCTTTCATTCTTCCCCTAATGTATCTGTTGGTCTAGCGCGTGACGTTCTCAAGACAGCAAATATTAAAGTGGTATTTTAAAGTGGCATTACAGTTACAATGGAGGAGAGGGATTTTAACACCAAAAAAAGCCATATATGTTTACATGAATGAAATAAACAAATGTAAATATCATGGTTTTTACTTGTGTTGTCCGTTATTTGACGGTATTTTAATATCGAGATTTTTCATTGGAGGTAAAATCAGATTTTGATAGTTTTGATCATCTGTGAGAGACTCATAAATTTAAACTGGCTTTCAGCACGTATATTTAAGAGATCTCATTTTGGTCTTCCAGACTGTAGCTGTTCCAAGAGACGTTCATATATTTAAGCCGGCTTTATCAAATATGGGTGACAAAAGCTAAAGAATTGTGAAATAATTAGTCGTTTTAGCCATCTCTACTTCATCTGCCCTATAATATGCTAAGAAGGTTTATTTGTGTCGTGGCAGACAATGTTTCTTGTTAAAATCTATTTTACACATTTATAAATCTGCCATTCGTCCGTGAATTGAACACTGCTGCCATATCTGGTCTGGTGCTCCGTCTATATATCTCGAAATTCTTGACAATTTAAAAGGGTTTGTAATATTAACGGACCTGACCTGGCATCTCGACTTAAGTCACTTTCCCACCGCCGTGACGTGACTCCCCTCTGTCTTTCCTAGAAATATTTTCATGACAGTTGTTCTAATGAGTTCTCCTCCTTTGTACTTCGACGGCATGAATTTAAGATTACTACTGGATAGGCTGATAGGTCTTACAGTTCTCCTGCTGGGTCTAACCTTAAGTTCTACGCTAACAGTTTATTTTCTCGCATTTCTCGCCTGTGGAACACTCTTCCAGTTTCTTGCTACCCTGCCACCTACAAAATTATAAATTTAAATGCAACGTCAATCACCATCTTCTGTCTTCTTGAATACTGTTTTTTTTTTTTATTGTCCTTTCTCCTCACTAAAATCTTAGCTTTCATTCCCAATAACCCCTTGTGTCTTAGTGGCATTATCGCCTTGTTTGGGGTGAAATTATTAAAAGAAACAGTGCTAGTAAATTCAAGTGAAATTTCATCATGTGAATAAAAACGATGGACACTGACTTTTATATCGAAATAAATTATGATTACCTATGTTCGTTTTTCCAAATTTCTTAAATATAATTTATATAACACTTTCCAGATTCCCGAATAATGTCTGTACTAGAATCTTCTTTCCAACACTTCTTTTTCTTTTTAAGTTTTTCTGGAACTCGGTAAGGAAAGAATATTTCCAGCAAGATCATAAAACTTAGGATATTATATCAGTGTGAGAAAATGGAAAATGACATACGAGAAATAGAAAATATAAATTTAAACTCGATGGATAAATAATGGGGACTTCATAAGTAACGGTCACAGAATCATATATGCAGGTGGAAAGAAAAAAGTAACTAATACTTTCTCAAAACATATGGAAATATGTTTATGGATACTATCAACTGCCGGGCAGGATTCTAAAACTGAAAGAGAAATCATTCAATATGGCTCTCATAGACACAAAACTCACAAAGCACGGAGGAAGAAATAGATGTTTTCTATCACACTAGATAATCCCAACACTCAATGAAAGTCGTAGGAAATTACAATCATCATGGGAGATCTAAATGTTAAATTAGGAAATGAACGAGCTAATGAAATTACCAGTAAGTGCGGACTAAAATCACAATGAATGCGCAGAAAAATGGGTCCATTGGTGCACAATAATCGAGCAAGAAACAACCAACACCAAGAACATCTAGGATTCTTATAAACACAGAACAGCCCAGAAGCAGAGACAAAGAACCTGATCTAACAATAAAATATCCAGAAATGCATTTCTACATTCTAAAACCTCCCCAGGCGTCGACTGTAGGGGTGTCTACCTGCAAGTCATATTCAAACTCATGCTAAAATTATGGAAATTAAAGAAATCCAGAACAAAGGCTGAACTGAAATATAACAGAACCCATGACGGAAGTATGAAGATAAAGAGAAAATTTATAAAGCATAGAAGAGGTTGCGAATTCACAGCGGAACACGTTAAGGAAGGTTCTAGCGCTCGACCGAAATCAAACCAAGAAAAGAGAAACAAAAAAAAATAGAAATGGATGACAGAAAAAATAGATGATGACTTTTCCCAAGGTTATGAAAACGAGACAACAAAGAATGCCAAGGAATGGCACTGAATATAGAATGTTAAACAATAGCAGTACATACAAGAGCAGACAAACAAAAGATGAATGGCTCAACGAGAAGTGCACAAAAATAGAAAAATCGTGGAACAGCAAGTATGCATAAAATGATGAATAGAATAACATGTTAAAGACATACACTTCGACAGGATACGCAAAATCTAAAAAAAGGGAACGTCCATAATATTAAAAGTACTTCAAACATCTGGTGAACTCTTCCACAACAGAAAGAAGCCTACAATACATAAAAAAAAATACAAGGCATATAATACTAAAATCCGAAAGTCGTCACTAGTCAAGATGAACAGAAACAATGAAACTAGGACAGATGGAGTTGCAATAGAAATGCAGTCAGCCTAATTTTATTTCGCAATCTGATGAAATATGTAAATGACAGCGATGAAATACCGAAAAGACTCAATAGATCCCTCTTCATACCAATGCAAAAGAAGTCTGGTTCAAAAGAATGCGCCTCATTGGAAAATCAGCTTAATGGATCACAAAGGTAAACTAACCATTAGGATGCTATTGAACACACCTCAGAGCAGAATCTGACCGGATATGGGGTAAGAATAGTGTGGACTTTTCAAGAATTTGAAACAAGAAATGCTACATTTATGAACTGAATTCTATCAGACAGAACAGTACAAATCCAGAATGGCGTATAATATGTCATAGATTACATAAAAGCATTTAATAAGGTAAGACAAAAATCTGCTAGGAAAATTTTAACCTCTAGAATAATCCATAAAATTTACTGGGAACAAACCACTTGCATTCGCTAAGAAAACGATTTGAACAAATATACGAAAATACACTGAAGCCTAAGACATGGCTGCAGCTTCTCTCTAGATTTATACAATCTAAGAGGAGTAGAATTTATACCAGGATTTATTATTAGGAGATAATCTTAACAAGGTATGATGCCAAGATAACACTGTGTTGATGATAGCAGACAGAAAAGAAAACAGTAGGAACTCCTAGACAGGAAAGTAAGAAAGAAAAGAAAACTAATTATAAGAAAAGGAGGACTACTCAAGGTGTTAGGTGTGAACTGGACAAATCAAAATCAAAGCGGTACAGAAATTTAACCATCGGCATCGTTTCATAACAGACGAGAAAAATCTGATACAGAAATCCGAAGGTACACAAGAAAAACAAAAAATGCATTCCAAAAACAATTTTAAAAAATATTAAAAGACAGAACAAAGTAAAGTTCTGAAATCCAATATCAATTCTCCTATATTGTAGTCAATACCAGAAACCTTTAATATGTGCTTTTACATAAGTATGCTGAGAATAACATAGACTGAGCATGTAAATAACGAAGAAGTTTTAAGTAAAATAGGTAGGAAAAAGGTCATTTATATTTACAACCCGATATGGACATCTGTCTATATCTCTGAGATGAAATATTATGATTACTTGCATTATTTACATTATTCGGACTGTTATCCTCACCTTCATTGCCATGTTCACAAGGACACATGGCCCAGTGGATAAAGACGTTAGTTAGATCCAGTGACTAGCTTCTAGTGATATAATGGCTGTCTATATCTCTGAGATGAGGTATTATGATTAATGTCCGAATAATGTAAATAATGCAAATAATCATAATACCTCATATAAGAGATATAGACCGATACTGATGAAAATTTCCAATCACCGGAAGGCCGGAGTGTACAATGACCGAAACGTTGAGAATATGGCAGTGAAAATTAGGACAACAGTCAGAATAATGTAAATAATGTTAGTAATCATAATACCTCATCTCAGAGATATAGACAGATTTTGAAAGTATAAGTAACCGAAAAAAAACAGTTGATTTTTTTAAGGAAAGAGGGCTTGAAAAATG